TAATTTATTCAGTCATTCAACAAATATTTATTGAGCACCTACCACCTGCTGGAAACTGTCCTAGGCACTGGGGTGCAATAGTGCATCAGATAGTAAAATCCCAGCTCTCAGGCAGCAGTGAGGTGGCAGGGGAGGGGTAGGGGTAGGACAGTTCATTAGGATTCGTAATATAAAGAAGATAAAACGGTAATAATGTGGGAGGGAGGTGGCAAGGAAGCTCTTAGAGTGGGATGTCAGGGAGGCCTCATCTTGGCTAAGATGTGAACGACAAGAGAGAGGCAACTATGCTGTCCCATCCAGAACACTCCAGGCAAGGGAACAGCTAGTAGGAATCTGGCTTTTGAACAGTAATCATCTGGGTGTTTCTGAGGAGCAGAGAGAAGGTCACCGTGTCTGTAAGCAAGAGGGACACAGGAGTTTAGGATGGAGGTGGCAAGGGCTATTCACTTGATCCTAGTGGGACCAGGGATTTTGTTCTAAGTGCAATGGGAAGCAGTTTTGTGTGGAGGTGAACCTGTAAATCGTCTAGAAATACATGAAGGTACTGGTCTAAGAAATGAGAAGAGACCCACTATGGAAAGAGCCTGGACTTCCACAGTTGACAGATCAGACTTCCATTTCCCACTGTACCATTCATAAATTGTGTGACACCACAGGAAAACCATTTGACCTCTTTGAGCCCTATTCACAAAACAAGACTAAAGTGTCTATCTCCCAAGCTCCCTCTGAGAATGAAATAAATCAAGGCTTGTAGATTACTTAGACGATTCCCTCCCACACAACTCCCAAAGAAATGTTTATTCCCTTCCACCCCGTTTCCTGGCCCCTTCCTTTAGGTCTGCGGTCCCCAACCCCTGGCAGGGGACCAGTACCAGTCCATGGCCTATTAGGAACTGGACCACACAGCAGCAGGCAAGCCAGTGAAGCTTCATCTGTATTTACAGCCATTCCCCATCGCTTGCATCACCGCATAAGCTCCGCCTCCTGTCAGATCAGCGGGGGCATTAGATTCTCATAGGAGTGCAAACCTACTATAAACTGTGCATGTGAGGGATCTAGGTTGTGGGTTCCTTATGAGAATCTAATGTCTGATGATCTGAGGTGGACCTGAGGTGGTGATGCTAGCGCTGGAGAGCAGCTGCAAATATAGATTATCATTAGCAGAGAGGTTTTGACTGCACGGAGACCATAATAAATCAATTGCTTTCAGACTCATATCAAAACCCTACCAGTGAGTGGCAAGTGACAATGTAATAATAATAGAAATAAAGTGCACAATAAATGTAATGCACTTGAATCATCCTGAAACCACCCCCACTTCTGGTCCATGGAAAAATTGTCTTGCAAGAAACCGGTCCCTGGTGCCAAAAAGCTTGGGTATTAAATAAAAACCACCAAATTCCCATGTGGCATTAAATCTTCTATAATTTGACATGCATGCAAATACGTATGCTTACAACGATCATATACTATTGCATATCTATTTCAGTAATATATAGATTCCTGGTCTCCATGTTTAAATATAGGACAAATCTAAAATCAATAAATTCCTTGTGTTTGTAGCTCATATATGACTATTTACAAACAGAACTACAAATTTAATTTAAAATTAAATGCAAATAAAATTGGAAAAGCAATAAATCTAAAATTAATTAAATTCAAATTGAAGAAGAAAGAAGAGTGGTTGCCCAGACAAACAAATTCAACTCACAACTGGATTCCCTTAGATGGCGGTACCAATTTAGTGTTTAAACAAATGCGGCAAGTTTTACCAGGTCACAATCCCCAGAAAAAAGCAGGATGGTGGATGAGGTGCGGCCTCAGACCATTTTGGGTGGAGAGAATGGTGGTTTCCTGTTTTCAGGCAATTGATCCATTCACAACAGGACCCCAGCTAATGCAGTAGGTAAGGAGCAATTTCTAGTCCCTTGGAGGAAGGGACAAGAATGGATAGCTTGTCAAAGTTACACACACTGAGGATCAGGAGAGGGTTGCAGTGACAGTAAGGGAGAGAGGCAGAAGCCCGGGCTCGCTGACTCTTGTCAATAGAGTGGAATCCAGGAGTAGCCAATGACATTGTAGATGGAGGAAGGGCAGGGACCAAGAGCTCACCACCAGACACACTAAACAGGGCCTGCAATATAACAAGATTGTTCTCAGACCCCAGAACTTAGTGACATTTTGCTTTTACGGAAGGGAATGGAATCTACCTTGATGTGCGATGTTGGCTCAGCGCATGGCACGTTGTCTCTGGAAGGGCTCGCTAAAAGTCCTAGACACTGATTACACATCCTAGTCTGCCTTTCTGGAGTTCTTTCTTTTCCAAAGCCCTGACAATACA